GTAAACATCAGTTTCATTTTTTGTAAAATAAGAATAATAGCTACCTTGTGACGTTTTGTAAATATAAAATGAAATACCATATTTAAAATGCTTTGCACTGTTCTTGGCATAGTTCTGAGCAATTAGTACATGGCAATTATATTATTAGTAGAAGCCTGTCTTTTTTTTCTTTTTTTAATAATCTGATAGAGTAAGGATTCTTTTAAAATCAAGACTACTTGGGATTGAATTGCCACTTCTGCTCACCAGATTGTGGGAGTTTTTCTTAAACTTTCTAAGAAGACTGATGTCCTCATCTAATATGGAATGCTTACAGTACTTACCTCATGGGGTTGTTTGGGGTGACTAAATATAATAGGATTTACTACATAGTAAGTTCTCAGTACATTGTAGCTGTTATTATTTGTTCAATAGAAAGAATGTGTAGATTCTTGTGAGTTTAAGTAGGCTTTCAGGGAGATAGAGTGACTCTAGTCTTTTAAAAGTTAATTTTGAAGTTGCAATTTTGTGATTAAGACTTAAATCTCTGAATAAACCCCAACATAGTCTTGGTTAAAAAAAAAAAAAGACTTAAATCTGTTATGTTTGTCCTTTTGAAATCCTTAGAAACAGAATGTTTAGTGGAAGGTGAAAAGCAGATTTCTTTATTGCAAGAACTCTTTGCTCTCATTTCTAACCTTTATTTTCCTAGTACTTACTGATGCACAAGCTTCTCTTAGTAAACATGATCCCCCCTCTCTCCTAATTTGCTGCCGTCTTTCCTTTTAAGGGAAAAGTAAATTTTACTTCCAAGCCTAGAGAGTTGTTATTGGAGTAGGTGGACCACTGGAGATACTTTTTAAATTATTATTATTACTTTTAAAATTATTATTATTATTATTATTTATTTTTATTTTTGAGATGGAGTCTCACTCTGTTGCCCAGGCTGGAGTACAGTGGCGCAATCTAGGCCCGCTGCAACTTCGCCTCCCAGGTTCAAGCTATTCTCCTGCCTCAGCCTTCCGAGTAGCTGGCATTACAGTTGTGTGCCACCACACCCAGCTACTTTTTGTGTTTTTAGTAGAGACGGGGTTTCACCATGTTGGTCAGGCTGGTCTCCAACTCCTGACCTCATGATCCGCCCTCTGCGGTCTCCAAAAGTGCTGGGATTACAGGCGTGGCCACTGCGCCTGGCCTGGAGATACTTATTTTCTGGGTAAGCATCTACCTATATAGCCTTGCTTATGTACAGCAAAATTTTTTTTCTTTTCTTGATAAGAACACTCTTCTGATGTGGTGTAGTCAGTCACCTGAAGCTGATCTACCATGGACAGCCTAGCGGTATAAGGTGAATGGGTGTGGGAGTCCTGCTCAGCCTGCCTGAAGACAGAGGAGCCACTATTGCTGTCAAAGTTAAGTCAAGCAGCTTGGCTTATGCCTATTTCAGAATTTAAAAAAAAATTCAATTTAGGTAGGCACGGTGGCTCACATCTTTAATCCCTGCACTTTGGAGGCTGAGGCAGGTGGATCACTTGAGATCAGGAGTTCTAGACCCGCCTGGCCAACATGGTGAAACCCCGTCTCTACTAAAAATACAAAATTAGCTAGGTATGACAGTGTGCACCTGTTGGGGAGGCTGCAGCAGGAGAATCTCTTGAACCTGGGAAGCGGAAATTGCAGTGAGCTGAGATCGTGCCACTGCACCCTAGCCTAGGTGACAGAATGAGACTCTATGTCAAAAATTCAAGTTTTTGTATTTCCAGTTTTATCTTGATAAGGATACCTCATCAAAGAACTCATTTCTTTTTTTTTTTTTTGAAACAGAGTCTTACTCTGCCTCCCAGGCTGTAGTGCAGTGGTGCAGTCTCAGCTCCTCCGCCTCCTGGGTTCAAGCAATTCTTGTGCCTCAGCCTCCTGAGTAGCTGGGACTACAGGCATGTGCCACCATGCTTGGCTAATTTTTTGTATTTTAGTACAGATGGGGTTTCATCATGTTGCCCAGGGTGGCCTCAAACTCCTGAGCTCAGGTGATTGTCTGCCTTGGCCTTTCAAAGTGCTGGTCTTCCAGGTGTGAGGCCATATGGCCAGCCCCATTTATATTTTTTAAATCTTAATATTCTTTGCTGAAAGTGTTTTTTTGTGTTTTTTTTTTTTTTAAAGCAAGTCAGAGCTTTTGACATTTAGTAAGTCACCTATTTGTGCTTTGCTCTAACTTGGAGAAATATTTTTCTAAACTAGTTCTACTACTAGCAAAATTAAAGACATTTTTTGGCTGGGTGTGGTGGCTCATGCCTATAATCCCAGCACTTTGGGAGGCCAGGGCGGGCGGGTCATGAGGTCAGGAAATCGAGAGCATCTGGCTAACACAGTGAAATCCTGTCTTTACTAGAAATGCAAAAAATTAGCTGGGCATGGTGGTGGGCGCCTGTAATCCTAGCTACTTGGAAGACTGAGGCAGGAGCATTGCTTGAACCTGGGAGGCAGAGGTTGCAGTGAGCGGAGATCGTGCCACGGCACTCTAGCCTGAGCTACAGAGCAAGACTCCGTCTCAAAAAAAATAAAATAAAATTTTATTATGAAAGCAATAAAGATTTTCTCTAAACATTAAAAATTACACAGTAGTATGCAATGAACAATAAAGTCTTCCTGTTGGTAACTTGCTTCAACAGTTTTGGGGTATATTCTTCCATACCTTTTTTTCTTTGCGTATATGAATTTGACATGAGTATTTATTAATTTTGTTAGGTTTGACTCTATTCAAGCGGGCTTATAGTGTGCATATTGTTTAGAACTTTCTTTTCTTTCTTTTTTTTTTTTTTTTTTTTTTAAGATGAAGCCTCACTCTGTTGCCAGGCTGGAGTGCAGTGGTGTGATCTCGGCTCGCTGAAACCTCTGCCTCCTGGGTTCAAGCGATTCTCTTGAATAGCCTCCTGAGTAGCTGGGACTACAGCAGGTGCCTGCCACCACGCCCATCTCATTTTTGTATTTTTAGTAGCTACAGGGTTTCACCATGTTGGCCAGGATCTCGATCTCTTGACCTCATGATCTGCCCCCCTCAGCCTCCAAAAGTGTTGGGTTTATAGGCGTGAACCACTGCGCCCGTCCCATAATTTTCTTACTTTCCTCTATAACAGTACATATTATTCAAGTTTCTGTCATTCTTTTTGATGGCTTTAGTAAGATTTTATTTGCATTCAATATGTTATTTTTTCTACAACCGAATGATTTATGTAGGGCACCAGTATGTTTTTTTAAGTTTTGCAGGTATGTAGCAGTGTTTAGCATTCAGTAGGGTTTTTTTTTTTTTGGAGACAGAGTCTTGCTCTGTTGCCCAGGCAGAGTGCAGTGGCGCGATCTCAGCTAATTGCAACCTCTGCCACCTGGGTTCAAGAGATTCTTACGACTCTGCCTCCCAAGTAGCTGGGGCTACAGTCAGGTTCGATCATGCCCAGCTAATTTTTGCATGTTTAGTAGAGACAGGTTTTTGCCATGTTGTCCAAGCTGGTCTTGAACTCCTGACCTCAAGTGATCCACCTGCCTCGCCCACCCAAAGTGTTGGGATTATAGGTGTAAGCCACTGTGCCTGGCCTTCAGTAAGTATTTTTAACTTACTTGGATGCCTAGTACTAGTAGGTGGCAAATGGTCCCAATACCTATTATATATACAAAGCTTCTCATAGTCCTGTGAATAACTATTATTATTATTGTTGTTGTTTTGAGATAGGGTCTTGCTCTATCACCCAGGCTAGAGTGCGTGGTACGATCATGGCTCACTATAGCCTTGACCTCCTGGGCTCAAGCAGTCCTCCCACCTTAGCCTCCCAAGTAGCTGGGATTACAGGCATGGGTCACCATCGGCTGATTTTTTAGTGCTATAATAGAGATGGGGGTCTCACCATGTTGCCCAGGCTGGTCTTGAACTCTTGCCCTATGAATTACTGCAGCTGTCAACTACTAAATATCATTGCATCACATTGTTGCTAAGTGGTAATCTATGAGGATTAGTGAGGGAGCATCCCTGTGCTATAGGGCTGGTTCTAAAAAAGCTTATGCTATTCTTTGGGATCCCTAGTAGCATTGATTATGCAGGTTAATTTTTAGGGCTGGGTGCGGTGGCTTACACTTGTAATCCTAGCACTTTGGTAGGCTGAGATGGGCGGATTACTTGAACCCAGGAGTTTGAGACCAGCATGGACAATGTGGCAAAACCCTGTCACTACAAAAATATTTAAGAACAGCCAGGATGGCCGGGCACGGTGGCTCATGCCTGTGATCTCAGCACTTTGGGAGGCCGAGGTGGGCAGATTACCTGAGGTCAGGAGTTGGCGACCAGCCTGACCAACACAGAGAAACCCTGTCTCTACTGAAAATACAAAATTAGCTGGGCATGGCGGTGCATGCCTATAATCCCAGCTACTTGGGAGGCTGAGGCAGGAGAATTGCTTGAACCCAGGAGGCAGAGGTTGCAATGAGCCAAGATCATGCCATTGTATTCCAGCCTGGGCAACAAGAGCTAACGCTGTCTCAAAAAAAAAAAAAAAAAAAAAGCCAGGAGTGGTGGACTGTGACTAGTTCTAGCTACTCAGAAATCTGAGGCTGGGAGGATGCTTGAACCCAGGATGTCAAGGCTGCAGTGGAGCTTTGATTGCAGCCACTGTACTCTAGCCTGAGTGACAGAGCAAGACCTGTTTTAAGTAAAAACAAAATAAAAAACAGGTTAATTTTGGGATGGATCACTATAGGAAATGTCCCCAGCAGATGCTCAAAGCCAGAATATATAGTTTATAAGGAGTTCTTTAACACTACAGTTATATGGCACATTATGGTTTGTTTTGTTTTTTTAGACAGAATCTTGCTCTGTCATCCAAGCTGGAGTGCAGTGGCATGATCTCAGCCCACTGCAACCTCCACCTCCCAGGCTTAAGCGATTCTCCTGCCTCAGCTTCCCGAGTAGCTGGGATTACAGGCACATGCCACCCCGCTCGGCTAATTTTTGTATTTTTCGTTGAGATGGGGTTTCATCATGTTGGTCAGGCTGATCTCCAACTCCTGACCTTGTAATCTGCCTGCCTGGACCTCCCAAAGTGCTGGGATTACAGGCGTGGAGCTACCCCGCCCAGCCATATGTTTTTAAAGTTCCCTAGTCATTAGTTATATCTAATAACATCCCTTGGAGGCAGGTCAGCAGCATTTTCCTTTTTTATGGTTGAAGAAGCAGATGTAAAGATGTTGAGTGATTTGCCCATAGGTGCACACTGATCACAGAGCCTGTTCTTTTGTTAAGTAAACTGAACCATGCTGCCTCTCTACTGGTTATTACAAACAAGTAATAAAGTTGTTGCCATTTAGTGACTTTTTGATGGCTTTATTGAATAGTGAGTGTAGTTTACAAACCTTTTGTCTACTTCCTTTGTTGAAAACAGTTTTTTTTTTTTTTTTTTTTTTTGAGACGGCATTTCACTCATGTTACCCAGGCTGGAGTGCAATGGCGCGATCTCGGCTCACCGCAACCTCCGCCTCCTGGGTTCAGGCAATTCTCCTGCCTCAGCCTCCTGAGTAGCTGGGATTACAGGCACGCACCACCATGCCCAGCTAATTTTTTGTATTTTTAGTAGAGACGGGGTTTCACCATGTTGACCAGGATGGTCTCGATCTCTTGACCTCGTGATCCACCCGTCTCGGCCTCCCAAAGTGCTGGGATTACAGGCTTGAGCCACCGCGCCCGGCCTGAAAACAGTTTTAAAGTTAGAATTTACTCGTATCATGGTAGGAAACATTTTTATGTAAATTTCCCTGTTCTCTTAAAAATTAGAAGAAATCAGGCTGGGCACAGTGGCTCACGCTTGTAATCCCAGCACTTTGGGAGGCTGAGGTGGGCGGATCACTTGCAGTGAGGAGTTCGTGACTAGCCTGGCTGGTGTGGCTAAACCCTGTCTCTACCAAAAATACTAAAATTAGCTGTGCATGGTAGCATGTGCCTGTGGTCCCAGCTACTCTGGAGGCTGAGACAGGAGAATTGCCTGAATCCGGGAGGAGGAGGTAACAGTGAGCCAAGATAGGGCAACTGCGCTCTGTCACCCTCTAAAAAAAAAAGAAAATTTAGAAGAAATCATATGAAAAAACATAAAAATGAACTATAGTGGACTTAGTTATTCTGGAAGAACCTTTGCTAGCATGAAAATTAGTGTCAAGCTGGACATACGGCGTGTACCTGTAGTTCCAGCTACTTGGGAGGCTGAGACAGGAGGATCGCTGGAGCCCAGGAGCTCTAGGCTACAGTGAGCCGTGATTGCACCACTGGATTCTAGCTTGGGCAATAGAGCAAGACTGTTTCTAAAAGAAAAGAAAATTAGTATTATAAATTAGAAAATTAGAGGCTTTGTACAAAGCTTTGAAGAGTTAATATTTTTAAGTAGGAGAAAAATGAATCCTCTCGTTGTATTGCCCTAAGTAATTTTGAGTTTGAAACACTATGGCCCATATAACTTGAAGAGACTTTGAAAGGTCATTTGACCCCTTGAGTTTAGACCGTATCTCTTCTGTCAAGTGACAACACAGAATATTATCTAGCTCAAAAAAGTCTTTTTTTTTTTTTTTTTTTTTTTTGGTGATGGAGTCTCACCCTGTACCCCCAAGCTGGCACGATCTCAGCTCACTGCAACCTCTGCCTCCTGGGTTCTAGTGATTCTCCCGCCTCAGCCTCCCCAGTAGCTGGGATTACAGGCGCCCACCACCACATCCAGCTAATTTTTGTATTTTCAGTAGAGACAGGGTTTCACCATGTTGATCAGGCAGGTCTTGAACTCCCAACATCAGTTGATCCACTCACCTCAGCTTCCCAAAGTGCTGGGATTACAGGCATGAGCCACCGTGCCCAGCCCTCAAAAAAGTTTTTACAATCTGGGTAGCTTCTTTGTCTATCTCTCTTTTTTTTTTTTTTTTTTTTAAAGAATCTTAAGGATAGACTGTCTTCTTTTAATTTACAAGTTTACTTAGTCCATTTGAAACATTTTCTTTTTTTTTGTAAAGAGGGTCTAGGTCTGTCACTTAGACTGAAGTATAGCAGTGTGATCATAGATAACTGTAGCCATGAACTCTTGGGCTCAAGGGATCTTCCCACCCCAGTAGGAAGATCAGTACACCTCTTGAGTAGCTAGGAATACAGGCATGTAGCACCACACTCAGCTAAGTTTTTTATTTTTTCGTAATGATATGGCCTCACTATGTTCCCATGTTGGTCTTGAACTCCTGGTCTCAAGTGACTCTCCCTCCTTTGCCTCCCAAAGCACTGGGATTACAGATGTCAGCCACTACACCCAACCAGACATTTTCTGTTTACTTCTATGGACTTAATTTTGTTTAATCCCATTATAATTTTTTTCTCTATAATTTCTATGTGCAGATTTTTTCTCTCACACTCGAAAAACATTCCAATCTTAAAGTCTTTCTCCATTGATGGAGGTAGTAAAGGAGGGTTCAAGTAATTTACAACTGTTGTAAAAAGATTTTATTTGGCATGGTACGGTGTCTAATGCCTGTAATCCCAGTATTTTGGGAGGCTGAGGCGAGCAGATCACTTGTGGCCAGGAGTTTGACACCAGCCTGCCCAACATGGCAAAACCTCGTCTCTATCAAATATACAAAAAAATTAGCCAGTCGTGGTGGTGCGCAACTGAAATCCCAGCTGTTCAGGAAGCTGAGGCATGAGAATCACTTGAACCCAGGAGGAGAAGGTTGTAGTGAGCCAAGGTCATGCCACTGCACTCCAGCCTAAGCAACAGAGGGAGAGACTGTCTTTAAAAAAAAAAAAACAACAACAGGATTTTATTTAAGGGATCACACAGAACGCTAAAATTATGTATTCACATTTGGAATATTAAAACAGATGCAGCCGGGCATGGTGGCTCACACTTGTAATCCCAGCACTTTGAAAGGTTGAGGCAGGCAGATCACTTGAGGTCAGGTGTTCAAAACCAGCCTGGCCAATGTGTTGAAACCTTGTCTCCTAAAAATACAAAAATTAGCTGGGTGTGGTGGTACGTGCCTGTAGTCCCAGCTACTCGGGAGGCTGAGGCAAGAGAATCACTTGAACCGAGGAGGCAGGGGTTGCAGTGAGCTGAGATTACGCCACTGCACTCCAGCCTGGTGACAGAGCAACACTGCATCTCAAAAAAAAGAAAAAAAAAAAAAAAAAAAAAAAAAAGATGCTTTGATATGATATATTGTTAAATCTGTGGTAATAAAGAATAGTTAATCCTTATATACTTTAGTAATTAGAACAATCCTATTTTTTGTAGGCATGTAATTGCTGAATTTATCTTTTATTGCTAAAGTAACATCTCATTTATCTCAAACTGTCCTCAGTCTTGTGTTCTGAAATAGTATTAAAATATTTATCACACCAGCCTCTGTCCTGGTCATCATGTTCTTTATGCCATAATTATTATCATCATTGTTTTTGTTATTATCATTTGATAATTTTGCCACTGCTTATTTAGTATTTACTATGTGTCAGTCTTTTTTTTACATTTTTCTTATTTTCTTTATTATTTTTCTTATTTGAAGGTAATTTCTTGCTCTGTTGCCTGGGCAAGAATGTAGTAGTGTGATCATGGCTCACTGTAACCTTGACCTTCTGAGCCTGGGTGATCCTCCCACCTTAGACTCCTAAGTAGCTGGGACTACATGTGCCCACCACCATGCCTGGCTAATTTCTAACTTTTTTCGTAGAGGCAAGGTCTTACTATGTTGCCTAGGCTGGTCTTGAACTCCCAGGTTCAAGTGATCCTCCTGCCTTGTCTTCCCAAATTGCTGGGATTATAGGTGTGAGTCACTGTGCCTGGCCCATTTAAAATTTTAATTCTCTAAATATCCTGAGAGGTACATACAGATATTTTTATTTTACAGATGAAAAACTAAGGCAGAGAGATTATGTAACTTACCTAAGGTCATGCCACTAGTAAGTGGCATAGCGAGGATTTAAACCTACACTACTCCAAACCAGAGCTCTTACTAATATTAATGCTATTCTGCCTCTTATTTAATATATATCTTTACTTGGATATCTGCTTTTCTTAATACACAGAACACTTAGAAGTACCAAATACTGTGTGAGTTGTTAGTTGTGAGTAAGCGTATGTGTGTACGTGTGTACTGAGAGGGAGGAGTTTTGTACAAATCTGGAAGTTAGAGATCTGATGGGAGTCTCACTGGACATTTCTTCTGCAGGCTCTAGGGAGAGTTGGTTTCCTTGCCTTTTCCAGCTTCTAGAGGCTGTACTTCCCCTTTTGCCCCTGGTCTCTCGCCTATTTTCGCAGCCTAGTGTCTTCAAATTTGTCTCTGACACTACCTTTCCTGCCTCCCTGTTTCACTTATAAGTATTCATGTTTACATTGGGCTCACCCAGATAATGCAGGCTAATCTCCCCCTTTCAGGGTCAACTAATTAGCAACTCTAATTCCATCTACAACTTTAAATTTCCCCTTGATAAATAACATAATATTTTTACTTGTTTTAGAGATTTGAATGTGGTCATTTTTGGGGGAGGAGGTATGCATTCTGCCTACCACAGTTTCCTTAGTGTTGCAAAATGATTTAGCCTTTTAGGCCTTGCTGTAAAATGAGATTAATATTTACTATTTACTGCAAAGGAATTTTATGAAGATGGAAATTATATGCTAATACAGACAGGCCATGCATAGAATACATTTAATTAGCAGATGCCTTCTGCATGATCTTATCTGCTAGGTAGTTGTTCGAGGTGATAGGTAGTTTCCAAGGTAACCACTAGGTTTGATAAACTCCAGTTTGAATGCCTGACTCTTCTAAAGGCAGATGTTTGTTTAGAATTCAGCATTTCTAGACCTTTGCATGATGAGGATAGTAATGGTTTACAGCACAATGGTGGAAAAACAGATGAGTGCTCCTTAACTCTAATTTGTTTTATGATTTGAATCTGTCTTTATCTGTAAGATACAGTTCACTTTTAAAGTAGGCAGCTTTTCTGTTTAATATGATTTTCCAAAAGATTGCTATAGAAAATAATTAAAAGGGACCTTGAGTAATTGCACTTTTAAATCACACTTAAGATTGTTTTGTATGTGCTAAGATGGTGTTTTTTGAAGTTAATGCTGTCATTTTTTTTTTTTTTTTTTTTTTTTCTGGGACAGGATCTCCATCTGTTGTCCAGGCTGGAGTGCTGTAGTGTGATCTTGGCTCACTGCAGCCTCCACCTTCTGGACTCAAGTGATCCTCCCACCTCAGCCTCCTGAGTAGCTAAGACATCGGGTGTGTGCCACCACACCTGGTGAATGTTTTGTAGAGATGGGGTTTCACCATGTTGCCTTGCTGGTCTCAAACTCCTGGACTCAAGCAGTCTGTTTACCTCAACCTCCTAAAGTGCTGTGATTACAGGCATGAACCACTGTGCCTGGCCTAGGCAATTTACTTCTTTGAGTTTTATTTTCAGCATCTGAGAAATGTCACTAATAACATTTACTTCGTTGCTTGCTTTGCTATTAAATATGATGATTCATGTAAAATACTTGTGTTTGGTTTATATGTGCCAAAAAATAATACCTGTAATATATTGTAGGGTCAGGGATGAACTACTTTACCAAATGTCGTCGAATGACTAATTTCTAATAATTTAGAATATGTATTTAATATAGCTAGTGTGCATTGCATTATGATAAAATAGAGTGCTTATAACCTGTATACCTAATTTTTGGAAGTCAAATTCATATAGCTTTGGTTAATCTTTGTTCTTTTTACATTTTATTATTATATTTTAGACAGGGTCTTACATTGTTCTGCAGGCTGCAGTACAGTGGCATGGGAATAGCACATTGCAGCCTCAAACTTCTGGGCTCAAGTGATCCTCCCACTTTAGCATCCCAAGTATTAAATAGCTGACATTACAGACAATGCGCCACCATGCCTATGTTTCTTATTTTTTGTAGAGATGGGATCTCACTATGTTGCCAACTTCTGGCCTCAAATGATCCTCCTGTCTTGGCCTCACAAAGTGCTGGGATTACAGGAGTGAGTTACTGTCTCCAGCCTAGTCTTTGTTTTTGGAGTCAATTTGTGTAGCCTTTGTTTTTTGTGTTTTTTTTTTTTTTTTTACCCCTAGTATTTTATTGAAAAAAAAATTACTTTTAGAACCACTGAAAAATATTTGTTTGGGGGCAGTGTCTTTAGATAACATAAATTTCAGGAATATAAATTTTGGGTGAAAGATAGTACAGCCTCATTGGTTAAGAATGTAAACTTTCAAATCAAACTGTTTGAATTCTAATCCTGGCACTATTACGTACTGCTTTGTGACATTAAGCAAATAATATAACCTTCTGTGGTGCTTAATTTTTAGTCTTGTCTGAAATGAGGATAATGATAAAACTTACCTACTACTTCGGAAGGTTTGAATGAAGCAATCCATGTAAAGCATTTAGCATGGCATATATTAAGCGATCCACAGCAGTTACTGTTACTAGGAATGACAAGAGAAAGGATAAGCAGTGGGCAGGTAATCTAGTGCTAGCATGTGCTATTTAGAGCAGTGTTATCAATAGGAGTATAATGCAAGCCATGTATAATTTTAAGTTTTATAATAGCTGTATTAAGTAAATAAAAAGAAACAGGTGTTGAAATTCATGATAATAATGTTTAATTTAACCCAGCATATCTAAAACATTCCTATTTCAACATGTAATGATATCAAAATTACTGAGATATTTTACATTTTTTCCATACAATATCTTTGAAATCTGGTTTATATTTATACCTATAGCATATCTTAGTTTGGATACTAAATTGCCTGCGTGCCTCTGCCTCTGCCTCTGCCTGCCTTCTTTTCCCTCTTCCCCCCTCTCTCCCTCTTTCCTTCCCTCCCTATACCTTTTTCTCCCCCCCACCCCATTTTTTTGAGACAGAGTCAGCCAGGGATGGCAGCTTACGCTTTTAATACCAGCACTTTGGGAAGCTAAGGTTGGCAGATCACTTGAACCCAGGAGTTTGAGACCAGGCTGGGCAACATGGTGAAACCCTGATTCTACTAAAAATATAAAAGAATTAGTTAGGCATGGTGGTGGGCACCTGTGGTCCCAGCTAATCCAGAAACTGAGGTGGGAGGATTGCTTCAGCCTAGGAAGTGGAGGGAGGTTGCAGTGAGCTGAGATTGCACCACTGCACTCTAGCCTGGACCAGAGTAAGGCCACCCTGCCTCAAGACAAAACAAAACAAAACAAAACAAACAAAACAAAACAAAACAAAACAAAAAAACAGGGTCTCACTTCTGCTGGCTGAACTACAGTGGCATGATCACAGCTCAGTGCAACCTTGACTTTCTGGGATCTAGTGATCCTCCTACCTCAGCCTCCCAAGTAATTAAGACTGCAGGCGTGTGCCAACACACTTGGCTAATTTTTTGTTTTTTTTAATAGAAACGGGGTTTTGCCTTGTTGCCCAGGCTGGTCTCAAACTCCTGGACTCAAACGCTCCTGCCTTGGCCTCCCAAAGTGCTCGGATGACAGATGTGCACCATCATACCGGGCACTAAATTTTCAGCAGAGATAGTTGCTCTGTATTTAGATTTCATAAAATTTACAGTAGAAAAAGTAGATTCATTTATTCAGGTTGTTCTAAACATACAAGTTTTCAAATAACTGACTTGAGTATTTAAAGTTAAAATTAATTAAAATTAAATACGATTACAAATTGAGTTTTTCTGTAGTAGCCACATTCAAGTGCTCGGTAGCTCATGTGACTGGTGTCTCCCGATTGGACTGCATAGGGTTTGGAGGCTGTCCACCCTGTGTCTCCGTTCTCTCCTGTTCTTCCCCATGCTTCCGCTCAGAGTTGTTTTTTATGGTGCTTGTGATTTTGTACTTTCTGTAAGAAAGTTCTTGCTTAGATAAGGTTTTGCTGTCTTCATTTTAATAGCAGTATATTCTTGTTGAATATTGGCATTTTTTAATGTACAGAGAATAAATTTTTCACTTGTCTTTGAATGTATTTTCTTTTAAAATAGTTGATTTTTCCAATAATTTAAATTTATTTTGTTTAACAATACTCTATATATGTCTATATATTCAGTAGATATTGTGTCTATTGTGTGCCAAGTATTTTTTTTGTTGTTAAAATTGCAGTTAGGGTTAGACGTGGTGGCACATGCCTATAATCCCAGCACTCAAGAACGTGAAGGATCCCACCTTAGGAGGAAGCCAAGGAATTTGAGACCAGCCTGAGCGACACAATGAGAACCCATCTCTACAAAAAATAAGGAATAAAAAAAATTAGCCAGGCGTGGTGGCAGATGCCTGTGGTCTGAGCTACTTGGGAGGTTGAGGTGGAAGGATTGCTTGAGGCCAGGAGGGCGAAGCTGCAGTGAACTATGTGCCAGTGTGCTCCAGTCTTGTCAACATAATGAGACCCTGTCTCAAAATAGAAAATTACATTTATTATTATTATTTGAAATGGAATCTCTGTTGCCGAGGTTGGAGTGCAGTGGCGCAATCGTAGCTCACTGCAACCTCTGCCTCTGGATTTCAATCAGTTCTCCTGCTTCAGCCTCTGAAGTAGCTGGGAATATAGGCGCCTGGCACCATGCCGGCTAATTTTTATATTTTTAGTAGAGATGGGGTTTCACCATGTTGACCAGGCTGGTCTCAAACTCCTGGCCTCAGGTGATCCACCTGCCTCGGCCTCCCAAAGTGCTGGGATTACAGGTGTGAGTCACTACTCCTGGTGATATTTATATATGAAACTTTATAGTCCATTTGTTTATTTGATTTGATCAAGAACATCTACAGACTATCTAGAACATATTCTGTATGTATTTATCTAGAAAGTAGTCTGTACATATTTAAGGAAATGCCATGAATGAAACTTGTTCATAAACAATTTAAGCCAAATGCCCTAGAGATTTGTTTGTGTTTGAAAATATTTAAAATAGGGATATGATGAGAGGAGAAAACATTTATCATTGAAGAATAATACTGGCTGGGTACAGTGGCTCATGCCTGTAATCCCAGCACTTTGGGAGGCTGAGGTGGGAAGATTGAGCCCAGGAGTTCAAGACCAGCCTGGGAAACATAGTGAGACCCTATCTCTATATTTAAAAAAAAAAAGTACCTAAAAAATGTATTGTTGTAGTTCCTTTTTTTCTCCTTGCAAGCCATCTTTAATGTAGAATAGGCTAAATATAGTAATAATAAAAAAGATGAAGTTTATTGAGTACGAATTTGTATGTGTTATGTTGTCTTCTAAGCACAGATATCTCATTTAATCTTCATAATAGCACTGTGAGAATACTTTTATTTTCCCTGTTTAAAGATAAGGAAAATAGGAACCAAAGAAAGTCATAGAGCATAGATTTGAACTCAATTCTGACTCCAGAGTCTGTTTTTCTTTTTTTTTTTCTTTTGAGACGGAGTCTCGCTCTGTCGCCCAGGCTGGAGTGCAGTGGCGTGATCTTGGCTCACTGCAGCCTCCGCCTCCTGGGTTCAAGCGATTCTTGTTCCTTACCCGACTTAGTAGCTGGGATTACAGGTGCCTGCCACCATGCCTGGCTAAATTTTGTATTTTTCTGATAGACATGGGTTTTGCCGTGTTGGCCAGGCTAATCTCAAACTCCTGACCTCAAATGGTTTGCCTCCCTCAACCTCCCAAAGTGCTGGGATTACTCACCATGCCTAGCCTAGAGCCTTTTTTTCTAACAGTCATACCACTTACTGGTTGCTGGATAGAATGAAAAAGCAAATGGAAGTACTTCTCCCCACCAGAAGTTTTTCTGGGTTTCTTTTTTTTTTTTTTGAGATGGAGTTTCACTCTTGTTACCCAGGCTGGAGTGCAATGGCGCGATCTCAGCTCACCGCAACCTCCGCCTCCTGGGTTCAGGCAATTCTCCTGCCTCAGCCTCCTCAGTAGCTGGGATTACAGTCACGGGCCACCATGCCCAGCTAATGTTTTGTATTTTTAGTAGAGACGGGGTTTCACCATGTTGACCAGGATGGTCTCGATCTCTTGACCTCGTGATCCACCCGCCTCGGCCTCCCAAAGTGCTGGGATTACAGGCTTGAGCCACCGCGCCCGGCTCTGGGTTTCTTTTATGGGGGAGCTAGAGCAGAGTAACATGAGGGGATAGAGAACAGGACTAAATACTTAAATTCCTTCTGTAACAATAAAAAGATACCCAGTAAAGCCACATTCTTTTTTAGTTTTGTTATCTTTGCATCATACATTTAAACACTGGTTGCTTCTAAATGAAGCTTTAGAATCCTTTGTAAGATAGTACTGCTGCTAAGGCAGCTAACCACCAATGGATAAGAATTATGAATTCAGGCCGGGCGCGGTGGCTCAAGCCTGTAATCCCAGCACTTTGGGAGGCCGAGGCGGGTGGATCACGAGGTCAAGAGATCGAGACCATCCTGGTCAACATGGTGAAACCCCGTCTCTACTAAAAATACAAAAAATTAGCTGGGCATGGTGGTGCGTGCCTGTAATCCCAGCTACTCAGGAGGCTGAGGCAGGAGAATTGCCTGAACCCAGGAGGCGGAGGTTGCGGTGAGCCGAGATCGCACCATTGCACTCCAGCCTGGGTAACA